CACACACACACACACACACACACACACGACCACCCCATAGCTATGCTGCCTCGTGAGAGCATTTCCAAAATATAGTACAATGACTCAGAGGGTTTGATGCCCGCTGTTTAGATATTTATGAATGAAATACATCTCATTTGACCAGCTGTCTAGAACACTCCTTTCTGCTGAAACGGGCCTGCCCAGCTTGGCAGAGACCGGTCTGCCAAATTGGCAAACACGTGCAGCGAGCCATGAAACAAAAATTAGGATCGGCATTTGTGCTAAGGCACAAATACGTTATCTACGAAAATAAAGCCCTTGGTCGCTCTTATGAAAGGACCAGAATGTGATTTGTGTCTAATTAAGACTAAATGTGGTGAAATGTTAAAGAAAGCAACAATAATATGAAGAATGAAAATATAAAGTGGCTGGCATGTTAGTCGACTGGTTAAACTGGTGAGCATGTCCGCCTCACAGTGGACAGGTGCAGGGTTCGATTCCGGCACGAGCCTTCCTGTGTGAAGTTTGCATGACATTGTGAGCGCGAATGGTTGTTCATCTATGTGTGCCCTGCAATTGGCTGGCAACCAGTTCAGGATGTCCCCAGCCAACTGCCCGAACACAGCTGGGATAGGCTCAAGCACACCCCGTGACCCTCGTGAGGAGAACTGGATTAGAAAATGGATGGATGGAGAATATAAAGTTTTTTTTTTTGGTGGGAATCCTCGCGCTCTTAAACTCCACTCATCTGTAAACAAAATAGACAGTCCACCCCATCCCCCTCCTTGGACACCATTTTGTAAATACTTTACTCATTAAAGGGCAGGCTAATGAGGCCATGTTGAAAAACATGGACGGACCTGATACAGTACTTGTTTGTTGCATATTCACTGCTAAAGAAACAAAAAAAAATCTCAAAGTCCTTATACAGTATGTTACCCCATACAATGTGCATTTTTTATGGGTAGCTTAAGCCCGTAACATAATTCCTGAATGGATTTTCTTGCCCACATTGCACAATAATGTTCAATTGTAGCTCTCTTATTAGGAATAATTCATGCCAAAGACAATACAGTACTGACCGATATACTGGCTGGGAATGTTGGCAGCATACCACATCCCAGTATCCCTCGGCCAAAACGGGTGCGTGTTAGGCATGGCAGTCCACCAATAATAATAAAGGACTTATAATCAATGAAATAAACTTTATTCGTGCTTGTTTATGTGTCCAATTTCCCATTTAGGTCAATATGGAGCTCTGTCGGCTGTGTCTGGTTTGGGGATGGATGTGAAATCCTATTCCATTCACTCAACAAATACTACACCACAATAGGGCATGTATTGTTAAATTACTCACATGTGAGTACAGATTTCATGTCCTGCATGATGGATGTTGGAACAGATTGTTTGCTGATCATTAACAAATGAGTGGCCGCGACAATAGGGACACCTGTACAGTACTTCAACTGAGATCAATACAATCCGTATATTTCGGATACTTTATGGAACTGTACTTAAATATCCAAACTTCCTGTCAATTGCGCTGGTGCCTCAAGACGGCGCCGCGGCTTGGCCATTAAAAATGCTGAAAGGAGAGACTGAGTGACAACTAGTTGGCAGTAGCCCTCATGCCTGATAGATCCATAATGAGGCGGAATTTATGACTACTACCACCGCAGATGAAAGCCCATCTCGTCCACTTGTCATCTGCGGGTTACGGCCATTAAGTATCTGGAGGGAGCAGTTAGCTCTAAGATGCCTGAGGCCAGTTGTCAGTCGTGAAGTGCAAGAGGAAGTGGCAGTGACATCTGAGCGCACTTTCCACTTTGATTCCCACTCGGCGGCTGTGGTGAGAGAGCGTGGCATTGTATGTCCGTGGGTACGTGTCTGAAGGCAACAATTTCAGGGTGGCTCTTTTTACTCTGAAAAGACAGACCAATCACTGTGAATTGAACTGAATGTTCAAGTGTTTCGTATGAGTCAACCGGAGAAGAACGTGAGGAAAGAGCGTGCGTGAGTGTGTGCAGAGTCTGACCCCAAAGTGTTAAAGACAGAGTACAAAATGCTCACTGTGCCCAAGTGTGTGTCGACACACTCGTTGCATGCTTGTTAGTAATGTGTGATAAGGTCCTGCTGTGTGGGGGGAGGGAGGCTTTAAAATGTGTGTGTGTGGGGGGTTTTATGCGTGTGTGCCGACCAGAGGAAAATTAAAGGACCACCAACAAAATGTATGAGGTCACTTTCTAAGCATGCACGTCCAACATCCAAAACAGTGGATGTTGAAAGTCAAACATGGCATTTTGTACGGTTCCAAATGGGACTCCAAATTGAGGAGGAACATTTTTCCGCTTCTCACGAGACCCCAGAGTTCAAAAGGCCACGGTGCACGACGTCACACGATCCCTATGCATTTCTCACAAGACTCCAGCAAATCTCACAAGACCTTAGGTTTTTTTTTTTTTGTTGTTTTTTTTGTATGTGGCAGCACCACAGAAGGACACCAGAGACAAAGAAGAAAAATGTGATCATGACCATAGAACAAGAAATTGGCGGTTTAGGGAAAGTACCTAAATAAAATTAAAACTGTGTGAGGTCATTTTTGTGGGGGAAAAAAAACAAAAAATACACACTAAATGAGTTATTGTGTGGTCATTTCGATGCAAGAAATCCCTTTAAACTGGAAAAAAATGGGGGGTGATTTGATTCAAATCCTTTGTGTGGATTTTTTTAATACATTCAGCAACTACGCATATATTTTGTCCATATTCAAATGCGGACCCTGAGTAGCACTGACGAAAAATTGTGGCCCCTTCAACTCTGAACGTTGATCATTAATTCTACCAAGACCTTTGGGCGAATTCTCCCCTCGCAACAGTCCAGTGTCAGCATTCGTGTGGAAAAATTCGTGAGCCATCAAATACCTTTTGGATGAACTAAAACAGTGATTGTGAATCAGCTTTGATTAAAATTCAGATGACCACGAGGACAAGCAGAGACACTTTATTTTACTGACCCCAAAAGTAGGCATTTTAAATATTATCACTGTTTTTTTTTTGTTTGTTTGTTTTTTTATGACTATGTTGGGTGAGGGATGTACACGGCACACCTGGATCAAGTCTTGTCAGTTGTCAGCTCGACCTCAAGTTTTCTTTGCATCCTGTCAGAGTTGCACCTTTAACTGCGAGTCGAATCTGTGAATTCCACCTCGGCCATTTTGTCACTGAGCGGACAACGAACTGTATGCATGACAAGTGCAACTGAGAATTCTAACCATATGTCTTCAATCTTTCACTGACTCTCTTCCCTTGATGTATCCTCGGCCTTTTGCCTTCATTTGTTCTGGTTTGTGTAACCTTGTGCTCCCATCTGTGAAGGCCCTCCTCACTTCTTGTTTACGTTGTCACCTCGGGGGCGGTCCCATAATGTTGCTTTTTTTTTTGTTTTTGTTTTTCAGAAGACAGATTAGAGATGATTCAAAGACCGATTCTAATCT